CTGGCAATATTTCATATCTCTTTCACACACAATAGATGTTTAAACTCTGAAAGTAGTCCAGCAGGAATATGCATCCCCAAATTGCATTAATCCATGAATTTTGTCTTTATTCCTTCTCAGGTTCTGAATCACACTTTCACATAAAATTACGTGTCAGCCACAGAAATTATTATAGGAAAAATGATGTGTTATTTTGTAAAAATATCTTGTACAATACTGGAAACTAAGTACAATATTCTCTTAATAATTTGGTTCCCAGAATGAATGGACTCAGGCAATATTATGTTATTGATATCATTAACTCATTGCTAACTAAATGTATGCCTTTAAAGGAGCTGAGGATGTGAGTCAATAGCAGAATACTTGTCTTCTTTTGAAAAGGGCCTAGATTCAATCTCAAGTGCCACAAAGAAAAAAAGTCTTAAATATTCTGTAAGGGGAAAGGAGTTGAGTACATTTTTATAGTATTTATTCTTTCTGAGGAAGTTCTTACCTATTACAGTGGTTTTGAGGTTTTGCATAATTTGTATTTGAAAGAAAATATGACAGTGGGATGCATGTAATTGCAGTTGATATAAGGTTTGTTTATCATCAATCTCTTTAATTTATACCGAGATCAATGTCTCATGTTATATATTACCAGTAGAGAGAAAGCATTTTGTATTTGCAAGGGGTTGATATATAATGACATATCTGATAATTTAAAAAATTATTTCCTAGGAAATACGTAAGTATATATAAATACTTAGATCACAGACAATGCTTATACTAGTGCCCATATCCAAGAAATAGAAACTCTAATTTTGAGAGAATTGAAATTTGAAGCCAGGCATGGTAATCCCAGCACTCAGGCGGCTGAGGAGGGTCACTGTGAATTTGAGGCCACTCCGGGCTACATAGTGAGTCCAAGGCCAGCCTGAATTACATAGCAAGACCCTGTCTCAAAAACAAAAAAAATTGAATTGGGCCAACCCTTGCCACTTCTCTTAAGTCGCGCACCAAAAGCCGGGGAGGTGGATGAGGAACAGCACGTGTTAGCCAAGTATTTGATAGAACTAGCCTCATCCTCTGCAACATGGTGCACTACCGCCCTTCTCAGGTAGTGACAGGTGCTTCCTGTTTGTCAGACAGATAAGCTTAAATATTATTGCATTGTTTCTCTTATATGAGAAGCTCAATACATACATTGCAAAATAAAAGACAGATGATAGGAGAAAAGAGAGAAAAGAGTTATTATGATGCAGGATGGACAATGTATCTAAAAGTGCACCTTGATTTAGTATAATTGTCTTATGTGTTTTATATGTTCCTTGGCCTAGGAACTAGGCTGGGAACATATAAATTAGTCTGGTTGAATCTGTAAGTATGATAATTAATATTATAAGGACTTAGAAGATAAATGAATGAGTCTGATGCTAGCAAAAAGGGGGAAGGGGGAAGAGAATTGAGACATGTTAAGCACATGTACCAATCCCCCACAATGAATGAAATCATGCCCTGCAAACATGTACTAATAAACTTTTAAAAAATAAATAATTCTTTCCTAGGAAGCATAACTTTTGAAACTATGATGGAAATTCTCCGAGATAAACCAAGTGGCATCAATATGGAGGGAGGATTCCTGACCACGGCGAGCATGGTTTCTATTTTACCTCGAGACTCCAGCTCCCCTTGCATTCACTTCTTCACAGGCACTCCTGATCCTGAGAGGTGAGCTCACAAAATACTATAAGCCAGCAAGGGGCCGTGGGAGGGGTAAAGATCATTAGTATGTGGATTATTTTGCCTGGCTACGTTTCTGTTACACAAATAAGAATAATTTTATGTATTTTTGGTTTAAATTTTAGCTAGCAATTTTCCTACATGGATAACTTGTTCTCATTTTTTATGAGAAGCAAAGGTTAATAGTTTCTAGTACACAGTTATCCTGACTCATCTTTCCCACAAATATATTTAGCACTGTCAAGAAAGTTGATAGCTTTTCTTACTCAGATTTCAGACTTACAACATTAGATGATTACTAACAGCTACTAAATAGGTTCAATGATGTAAAACAAAATATCAATCACCTTTAGGTCTTTTATAGACTACCTTGATTTAAGTCATTAATATCTCTTATAAAACTTAATGCACATTACATTAAAAATAATTTTATAAGCTGGGCATGGTGTCACATGCCTGTAAGCCTTGTACTTGGGAAAGTAAAGCAGGAGGATCACAAGTTCAAGCACAGCCTGGACTACACAGTGAGCAAGTTCAAAGTCAGCTTGGGCTACAGAGTGAGACCGTGTCTCAAAAAAATTATCTATATTCATTATCAATCAGTGTTACAGTCTTCCCATATTACTAAAGATATTTGTAAGAAGATAGAATGAAACCTGTGTCTTCTTATCAACAGTAGTGCTGATTTTTCACCCCAAATTATAGTCCTCAAACTATAACATTGAGGATTATTCTTACTCTAGGAAATGACAAACTATTTGGTCATTGACATTGTTTATGTGCCAGGCTGTCTGTTAGGTCTATGGGAATATAAGGCTAAATAAAGCATTGTCTCCTGCCGTGAATGAGATTCTAATACAACAGAGGAAATAAACACCAGCATAACTAATATGCTAGGAACACATTAGTATGTGACATTATTAACAGCAACTTTTAATTAAGTGTTGGAAGACTTAGAATAGTGCTGGATAGTTTTTATATTTTAACATGCCAACTTAATAAAAACTTTCTCCTAGATCTGTCTTTAAGCCTTTTATATTTGTGCCACATATTTCACAATTATTGGATACCTGTTCACCAACATTTGAACTTGAACACCCAGTTAAGAAGAAGGCACACTGTAAGCCTGACAGAAGACATCCACTCTACCTGGAGCACCAACAGGCACTTGAAGCAATTGATAATAATAAGGTATGATTAAATTATATTGTTTGTTGTATCAATAAGAATAGTTTAAAATGTGATTCAATCTATATTTTGAACCTTGGAGTGTCGACTCCTTCCTTTCTCCATGTAAAAAAGATACAAGAATTATTTAGATGCACAGATTACAGTAGAGCTGTATTAGAAAAATGTGGGCTATTTTATTTTATTTTTTGTACCAGGAATCAAACTCACGACCTCAAGCTTGCTAGGCAAGCGCTGTGCCCCTGAGCTACATCCCCAGCCCTTGGGCTATTATTCTTAGGGAAATTTAATATATTAAACATAATAACAACAGCTAACATGTATTGAGCACTTATACAACCATTTTATATGGATTATTTCCTTTAACTGTTAGAACCATTTTATGAGGCAGGTACTGTTACTGTCCTCATTTGATTTGTAAGGAGTCTGAGACTAGGAGAGGTTAAGTAAGGGAAAGGAGAGATAAGGAGGAAATGGAAGAGGTATCTAACAGACTCCCTGCATAAAGAAGATTGGCCATCTCATTTTTCCTCACCTATTTCTGCCGCTTTTCTTGCCTATAATTCCATATACTTTGTCAAGGTGCACACATTTACGTTCTGCCTACATTTAAATGAATTAGTGTTCCTCCAGGTAATTTATTTTTACCTGTAGTATGTTTGCATCGTTGCTGTGTCTGGTTCCCCCTTGACTTTTTTGCTTATGCTTAAAGAATGCTGCCGGACTCCTATTTGCTACGAGTTCCTGCCGCTGCTCCTGCCTTACCTGGGACCGGTTTGTTTTCACTTCTGGCCCACAGTCTAAATGCTTACTTTCTTGTAACTTGTTGGCATGAGGTGAGAGGCACTAGCTGTCTACTTAGTGTGCCGAGGAGGACTGGTCCACAGGTTCAGGCCCATCTATCCCAGTGGCTGGGCTTAGCCTCTAAGCTCAGACCTGCGCAGTGAACACTGATGCACGCTCTGATTCTGCACCTTTTCAAGTCTCGTGGTTGTATTTCATGGCTTCTGCCCTGGTCCTCTCACTCCGCCCAGAGCAACTTCCACACAGTCCTCCTTGCTAGCTCAAGTGTTGTCAGCCCTCTTTTCCCCCACAATATTGCTCTGGGAGGTGAGTTTTGTAGACTTAGTATTAAATATTTGTTAAACTAAATTAAATTGCCATTTGACATTTTTTTTTTTTGCAAAGCAATATTGAAATAAAAACTCAAAAGCTGGTACTATTTTAGGCTTTATTTAATAGGTATTAATTGTTGATTGGGAATATAAAATGGAGGAAAACTAATGGAATGTGAGAGAAGTGTTAAAGAGCTGGGTTCTGGTCCTAGCTCTATAAATACCAACTTTTGTGTTTCAGGGATCCTACTAGTAGTTTTAATTTACATTGCTATTACTAGTGAGATTGGAAATCTACATTTATTGCTCAGATTTCCTTTTAAATGCCTTGGCTGGTTTCTCTTAGCTATTTCTTAATTGTTTGTGGGTCACTTTTGATTGTTAATTCAAAGAGGCAAAAACATAAACTCTATTATATTGCATTTTTTTTTTTCCGAATGGGGGGGAGTTGCTGTGTTGCCCAGGATGACCCCAAATTGCTGGGCTCAAGTAACCCTCTTGCCTCAGTCTCCTGAGGAGCTGGGATTACGGTACAGTACAGACTCCTATGCCCAGCTTATACTGTAAATTTTTAAAATCTCAGTTTATTGATTGACATTTAACATTTTTTGTCCGACCAAAAATTTAAATTTAATCAGTTACTTGTGTTAGTCTTTCCCTTTAAGGCATCTTTATTTCATGCTCCAAAAGACCTTCCTTGCCTCAAAATGAATATAACGTCTGCATTTTTTCCAATATGTATGTGTGTTTTTAAAACATATTTTGACCTTTAGTTCATCGGAAAATTTTTTTTTTTTTAGTTCATTGGAAATTTGTTTTGTGTATACCATTAAGTGTTACATCTAAATGTGTTTTCCAAAAAGATAACCAACTATCCCAATACCATTTATACACAAAATTCATTTTTTTCTCCTCTGATATGAAATGCAGTTTCATACAATTTCTTATTGAGGTCCACATTAAGAATCTTTATTTTGTGGTATCCTGCCTGTAATGACTGAAATTTTAAAAATTATCTTCCCTTTTTTCTCATATATAATAATGTTTCTCATCTATGATTTTTTTTTTTTCTTTAGGTACTCTAAACTGATAGTGGAGATTGCCAGTAATTTAAAAATTGTTCCTTTCTGGGCTGGGGAGGGCAGTGGCTCAGAGGTAGAAGAGTGGTCTACCTGGGTAAGGCTCTTTCTGGGTTTGGTCTCCAGCACGGCAGGAGGGCAAAAAATTCTCCTTTTTGTAAGAGTCATGAACTTTTATTTTTCTTTCTTGAAACAATGAGTGCGTGAGAGAAGAAATGTCTTTTCTTTCAGCTACTTTTCCCTTGAACATTACTGATCTCCTTTCTTAATCTCATAACATTATTCTTATAGATTTCTAAATTCACAAAAATTTCTCTGCCTCAATTTTCAACAGTTTATTGTGTATAATAAACATCATATTCTCATTTGTCCTATTGTTTAGTTTCTTGCTTATTAGTACAATATACTCTCTTTTTACTAAAAATAACTAGAGCAATGATTTTCCTCCACTAAAGAATTTCATTTATTCTGTATCAACAGAATAGGAGAAATAACTAAACCGGGAGTAGAAACCAGAGTGAACAAACCTTGTCTATGGAGGTGGTGGGAATTTGTTTAGATTCACGCAGTAAATTTATTTTTATACTTTTAATTGTTCAGGAAAAAGCCAAAACAATGTTGGACCATATGCAGAAGATGGAGAAAGAGCTATTCAAAAAGATGGAATCCATCCTCCAAAATGAGCATCTTGATGTGGATAAAATTGTTAATCTCTTTTCTCAGTGTGCAAAAGATGAAATTAGAATTTATAAGTCAAATGTTAGTTCTTAGTGATTATATAAATGGTTAGAAGCCTTCCTCAAGGCTAGCATTTATTGCCTTGGTAAATGATATATACCTCCTTTGAACAGATCTGATTATTCTTTAATAGCATACAAGTGATAGTTTGACTGATGAAATGTATAATCTTGCTGAAATACTGAGAAAGAAAACATGAAATCAAACACTCGTGATGGGACAGCGAGGTATAACTTTAGGTAATGTTATTTCTTTTAGCTACAATGAATATTTTGTTGTCACAATGATTAAGTATTCAATTCTGTATAAAGCATGAAATGTTAACATGATGTATAGATTTATGTTTAGTATATTCAGAACTCAGATTTTTAGTATTGAAAAATATCTCATGATGGGGATTATTTTTTTTGCTTTAGGCAAACATTAACCAGGTTTAAGAAGAAAAATTTCCATATTTACACGCTTTGTCATCATGGTGTATTAATTCTGCAAATGCCCTTTTATGAAACCCAACATACTTTGTCACTATTTGGCTGACCAGTAAACTTATAGTTCCAGTCAACCCACCTCCTTCCCTTCCTCTCCTTCTCTTTGTTTTTTTTTTTTTTTTTTTTTTTTTTTTTTTTTTTTGGTTTTTCTCCGGTACCGGGAACCGAACTCACGACCTTCCGCTTGCCAGGCAGGCGCTTTTGCCGCTGAGCTAAATCCCCAGCCCCCCTCTCCTTCTCTTTGGAAACCTCAAAATCAACAGTCTTTTTATTGTTTCCATAGTATTGCTTTTTTCAGAATATTACATATTTAGAATCCTACAGTAAGTAGCCTTTACAGATTTTTTTTTAACGTACTAGTAATGTATATTTAAGATTCCTCAATGTCTTTTCAGAGCTTTTTAGCCCATTTCTTTTTAGCACTGAATAACATCCTTTTGTCTGGATGTACCACTACTTGTACTTGGTTACATCCAAATTTTGGCAATTATGCATACACCTAAAAATACTCACATGTAGTATTTTGTGTGGCTCTAAGTTTTCAGCTCATTTTGAGTGAACAGCAGTGCACACAATTGCCAGACTTTATGGTCAGAGTATATTTAGTTTTGTAAGAAACTGCTGGCCTTCCGAAGTGGCTACTGTTTTGCATTGCCACCAGCAATATTGCTCCACGTCCTTGCGGGCATTTGTTGTCATCCAAGTTTTGGATTTGGCTACTTTGATAGGTGTGCGGTTGTCTCTCAGTTTATCATATTATTATTTTTAGATTGGGCCTCCCTACATTGCCCAGGCGATCCTCACAGCTCCCCCCAGCCCCCATAGCTGGGACTGCAGGCGCACACTGCTGTACCCAGCTGTTTCGCATTTGAAGCTGCAGTCCCTAATGACATATGTCGAGCATCTTTTCATATGCTTATTTGCCATCTGTACATTTTCTTTGATGAGGTGTCTGTTCAGATCTTTTGCCCATTTTTAATCAGTTCATTTTCTTACTGGGGACTGTAAAGGTCTTAAAGACTTACTTTACATTAAAGCCACAATCCTTAACAAATACCCACAAGATCCTGCTAATCTACTTGCCCCCAGCTATACTTTTATTATATTTTCACTATTGTTTTTGTTTGTTTGAACTTCTGCTCTTTCCAGTTTTTGAGTGCCCAGGTCCTTCCTCATGGCTGTACCCTCTGCTTGCACCATTCCTTCCGTGCATGCCCTCTATAGAAGTAATTCTTCACATCTTCATGAGTTTTGGAACACATGAGGTCCTTAGGGATGTTTCATTAAATGAACACTCAAGTATCGTGACAGAAAGAATTTACATAGCCCTCTTCTCTGCCTATGGAAATACAAAGTGGAGAAAGCCAGGCATGGTGGCACGAGCTTGTAGTCCCAGCACTTCGGAGGCTGAGGCTGGAGGATGGCCATGAGTTTGAGGCCAGACTGGGCTACATAGTTCAAGGCCAGCCCGAATTGCATAGTGAGACCTTGTCTCAAAAGTATTAAGTTATGAAAATAAGCTAGATTCTGTACAGCTTGGTAGCCTTTGATAAGTCTTATGTCACCCTGTTGTCTCTTTCCATATTAAAAATGAGAATAACTCACCAGATAAAAACAAAAATTCTTATGAGGCTGTGTTAATTTCTAAAACAGCTTGAGAGACTCTGTAAATCCCATATGGCATTTGGGCTGTGAGTACATTGTGGGTAATTAATGCCTTGGGATATAATTCAGAAAATTCAACAGTTTCCTAAATTTTGTTCTTTGTAAGAGTAAAAAATATAGTAGCTGAATTAAGCTTTTTGGGAGTCAATCCATAAATGATGTTATTTATCATTACTGTCTTAGTTACTTTCTCATTGCTGGGACAAAATACTTGACACCTATAAGTTATCACAATTACTTAATAAATCAAGGGAATCATCAATACATTATTTCATGCAAAGCTAGTTTGTTTGACCTTTGATAAAATATGTTTTTTTTTTTTTTTTTCTTGAGACAGGGTCTTGCTATGCAGTTTAGGCTAGCCTTGAGCTCACTTTGTAGCCCACTCAGATCTTGAACTTGCAACGATCTTCCTGCCTCAGCCTCTCAAGTGCTGGGATTACATGTGTGCGCCTCCATGCATGGCAAAATATCAGTTTATATATTAATCTTTAATCAAAAATTTGCCCTAGAAATAATTATGCATCCTAAAATTTTGGAAAGTGAGTTTCTTCTTGTAAAATTTGGCAAAGCAGGTATATGTAGTAAATGTTCTTTTAACTACCTCAAATTTTATCATACCAATTACAGAAATTTAAAATCTATCTTTTTCTGAAGAATGGTGATATCACTTATGATCCTGAACTTTTTTCCAACCGTCATTCATCATGGCTGCCTATGCCCAGTTGTCTAAAGTAATTTAATACTTTACAGAGATATGAGCAGACAAAAACTTAGAGCTGTGCTGTGTAACTTTTACAAACTTACTGGTCATTTATTATTCTCAAAATACCAAGCATACATGGCATATGCCTATAGTCTCAGCACTCAGGAGGCTGAGGCAGGAGGATCATTGGGAGTTCAAAGCCAGCCTGTGCTACAAAGTGAGTTCAAGGCCAGCCTGAACTGCATAGTGAAACTCTGTCTCAAAAAGAAAGACAAAAAAATGCCAACTATAGTTTATCTTCTTTTAACAATATCGAAAGCTAAACACAAGTTAGGCCTGGAATAATTTGCTGAGAGTTAAAGAAACAAACAAATATGCCAAAGATTAGTATAAAAAGGATTAGTTTTAATTAAACATGTATTTAATCATTTTCCCAGCTGTCATGAAATGTATGTAAAAGACTGTAATGTCATATTCTTAAAATCTATTTGCTGAGGACATAACAGCAAGACCCTGTATGCAGAACCTACAGGGTCATGAAGACTAGGACAACCTCATGAAATCTAGTTAACAAAACATTAAGAACTTATGGAAAAGACCTCTATGATAGCTCCTGCATTATTCAGATCATGCAAAGAAAACAATGCCAGTCAAAATAAGTATTTTATTGAGAAACTTGCTTTGTTATTGAGAAACAGTTACAAATATTTTCATTTAATAAAATTAGCCTATTCTTAATCCCAAAAACATATCTTAAAAGCCTTTATTATCTGAAACTGCAGATCATTCTGATCCAGGATTTTCTTTTAGTGTTTCCTGTGGGAAAAGATGTTGCAGATTCCATTCGTGCAAATAACAGAACATATGTGGTAGGACCTGTTGTAAACAAAAAAATCCCCTACTTGGGTTGGAGTTGCCCGCATGCATGTGAATTACATGTCTTTACTGTAACTATAAAAGTAGCCTGGTACAGCAGTGAGGCTTTATGTTCACTCCTGAGCGTTCAGAGTCATAATGTGGTCATCATTTTAAAAAGTTTCGCAGCAAGACAGTTCTTTAAAATATCCCCATCCCCCAATCAAAACTTAAAATAGTTAATATCTTAATAGTATAATAGTTTAATAGTATACTAAAGTATAATTTACTTGTTAAATACATAAGGCTTCCATGCAGGTTTTTAAAAAAATTATGTATCTGTTGCATTAAAAGGGCAATGGCACTAACCCTATAAATAATTTTCTAAATGGTTTTATATATTAAACACTAAAAATATGAGATAAATAAAAATCTTAACATGTTTTAAATTAAGCCATCATTGGCACCTAGTAAGTAGCTGTTCAAATGTCATACAAATATGTCTCTTTGTAATTTTCTGGAGATAAAGCTTATCAGAGGATGCTGTGGTCTGAGTGCTGTGCTCCCTCCCCAGTTCCTGTGTGGAAGCCTAACCCTTAGTGTGTTGGCACTGGGAAGTCACAGGCATGGTGCTGTCATGACAGATCAGTGCCCTAGAAGGGGCTGAAGAGCTCAGAGCTCTTCCCTTCCACCAAGTGAGGACCTGGCAAGAAGGTCCCATCTGTGAACCAGCAGCCAGGCCCGGCCCTTACCACACACTGAATCTGCTGATGTTTTAACCTTGGACCACCCCACCTCCAGACCTGTAAAAAGTAAGATTCTGTTATGCATAAACCATCCAGTGTATGGTGTTTATTACAGCAGCCTTAATGATGGAGAGCAACCTTTAGTATGTTCAGATCTTACAAACCTTTATACACAGACGCTTAAAGAAGACGGAATGCAAAAGGCAGTGGTAGGATTCCAGGCTTCAAATTTTTAAATCTTGCCTTCAGCTACACATACAGTCTCTTTTTCACTGCAGTAGTATGGTTACCCTTCTGTACTACAGTGCTGTGTGAAAATACCCCAAATGGCCCATCATATGGCAATAATTTTATAACATTTAAGTGAATATGCTCAAGTTATTTGTAGTACACAAGCTAAAGATCAGATTATACTTCTGCTGAAGGATTACAGAGATACTAAACTTATAAAGGTTCTTATTCCCTTTTTAATGGTACTGTTAGTACTTCAGATAGAAAAAAATAAACCTTTTTGAAAAAGCAGTGGTGGGCCGGGGATATAGCTCAGTGGCTTAAGCGCCTGCCTGGCAAGTGCAAGGTCCTGAGTTTAATTCTCGGTACCTAAAAAAAAAATTGATTAAAAAGCAGTGGTTCTACTTTTAACTTAGTATTTGTCAAAGAAATGTAAAAAATAAGACACTTTTATTAGAATCATTAAAATTCATTTTTTAGGAGGTGCTATCAATAAAGGTAAAGTTGTCAAAACCTAAGGTCCATTTCACCAGCAGTACACTGCTAAATTCATCAGTTTAAAGTAATAGTCAAGAGCCAGGGATATAACTCAGCAGCACAAGTGCCTGCCTGGCAAGCGCAAGGTCCTGAGTTTGATTCCTGGTACCAAAAAAACAAAAAAATTAAAAATAAATAAGGTAATAGTCAACTGAATGCTGATTTTGAAATTATAGCAAACAGTTGCAGGAAGAAATGGCATTATAATGTTGGCATATTAATATAATTTATAGTCATGATTTTACTTACTTTGGTTTAGTTTCCTCTTTTTCTGATGTGGTTTGTTTTTGATTTTGTTTTTTCAAGATAGGATTTTACTGTGTAGTTCAGGCTGGCCTTGAACTCAAGGCAATCCTCCTGTCTCAGCTTCCTGAGTGCTGGGATTACAGGCGGGTAACCAGGCCTGGCTTTTTCTGATGTGTTTTACACACACATAGAATTATGGAATGTTAGCATGGGGTTAGGAAAGCATGTTGTCCGACTGTACAGAAGAGGAAATGGAGGCTGAGAGGCTGTAACTTGCCCAAGGTCATACAACTAAAAAGTAATCGATTTGGGGCTAGAATGTGACTCTATACAGGGTTCTCTCCCTTGTGTCTTAGGTCTTAGGGGACAGTGAAGATGGGGATGGATGCTCAATTTCTTTATAGCTTTCCTGATTGGGGTTGCTCATGTTAACAGCTGGAGGACACCGTTCAGGACTCTTCTGAAGGAATCTGTAAAACAAGTACTCATCCCGAAATTCATATTCATTGGTAATATGTTGGATGACTCCTCCTTGCACCAGTCTGTCTCCATATATCACAGCTTCACCACGGTCTGAGGCAAGGCCGACTTCGATTAGCCAGTTCACCAGGTCACAGCCGCAGAAGGTCCCAGCAGAAGTCTTCGCACCACACCTGAATGTCAAAGGAATGATTCACCCACATGGCCTGTAAATCTGGTATCAGTACTGCATGATGGAGGACACCAAGGAAAATAGAAGGAAACAGGGAAAGGCAGCATGGCAGTTAAATGCATGGCAGGAATGAAACTTCTGAATATTAAGGAGTTAACTTTGCTGATACTAGAAAGACCCAGTGGAGAGAAATAAAATATGCAGATAATGCTTGTGAAAACAGAAGTGCTTAAACATGAGAACAAATGACACAGATAATGTAAAGGTATTATCAAAGAAATACTTTTTATAGTAGCATGACCTCTGTCTTTTATGATCAAGTCTATCTTATAGACAGCTGAATATTATATATTTTCTAATTTATATACTCAGTTATACTAAGCAATTTAATTATCTCAGAAACAGGAAGTATTTTTGCAAGCTCTTAAGTGACTACTTTGACCAAGCTACTCAAATCAATCCTTATTTTCAGTTTCTAGTGCTCACAAATAGCTCTTCTTACCGTTCTCAGAGGCCAGGATAATTGTGCAGATAGGAATTTGCTCCATTAGGAAGCAAGGAAAGTGTAAGTAAGACCCGTCTTGCTATAAATCTACGATTTTTAAAATTATTTTATGAATCTACTTCTTGGTTATTTAAAATTTGTCTCCCTCATGCAAACGTAGGGGACTTAACTATGATAAGAGAGAAATGCACAAGAAAACCCCAGTTACAGGAAATATGTACATTTCTGCAAGACAGCAAGGATGTGTCCAGAAGCATCAGTCAAGCAGTAAAATCTAGTGTTTGACAATAGGAAATAGTAGATGAAGAATGAGATGGAACAAAACATAAGTGACAAAAATTTTAAATGTTTTTGCATAAGTAAAAACACATTTGAGTTTCATATAAGGAAACAAGTTAATAGACATAAAGCATTTTCTCAAGTATGCAAAATCACAGTATCTTAGACATTAATTAGTGACAAGATCTCTTAACTCATGCCTTGCAACTGCAGACATCACCTTCAGTAAAAACCTGAATATTTCAAGCTGCGTCTGGGCATTATTCCTGGTTGGTGACTTCTGATTTATAGCCTAATGCCTTCTGTCTTTGACATCAACTGAGTAACATTTGTTTCTTGCTGGCTGTGATCAGGGAGCTCTGACAGAGGCCCGTGGAGTCGTACAGAACATCAGAATGTGACGCTGTACAGGCTACAGAGCCTGGAGGGGGCAGGGAACAGGCCAGGACACTACCAGCTGGTGCTCCAGCCATCTGGGACCAAGGCAGCCTGGCATTCCTGCAAATGGTGAGAGCCACGCTTCCTGACAGTTGGCAAGCACAATAGGCCTCACAGCTAACACAGAGTTTTCTTTTTCAATTTTCAAAAGCACTTTTACATTGTTGAAACTGTACATGGTCTCTGGAAATAATAGTGCTCAGCCCTTTAAGAAAGGAAAACTAACTTATCTTCATAGGCTATTACTGCCAGAAATTGGGCGATGCTCATCACAGAAATTCTGTCATTTACTTCAACCACTGAAGAGTTAGTTTTAAAAACAAAAGCTAAGGTGTAGAGAATTGAGTTTGCCTAGTGCTACACAGACAAGAAGTGGCAGTTCAGGAGCTGAGTTCTACTATTATTCCACTCAGTGAGTCCCTTTGCATTACCTACACCACGGGCTACCTTCTGACTATAATCGTGCATGTTAACTAGAGTGGCATAGGTAACTAACCCAAACAGAAACTTTCATAAATTTTCAAAATTTGATTGATACCTATGAAGGTAATACATTCTTTATGTTTTATTTTCTCTTTCATGACATCCAAAAAAAAAACTGGCACTATAATGTTTGTTAATTCATAGTTCATTTCTTGCTGCAGCATATCCCACACCTTAGGGATGAGAAGAATAAATATAATGTCACAGACTAAACATAGGACTTGAGGTGAAATATAAACTGCAGAATTAAAGGGCAGATGTTTCATTTCACTTTCCTGAAAACAGCATTAGTAATATTAAATAACAGCACTAGGAGGTGGGAATATAAAATCACTTCTCAATCCAGCGTATTGCAAAGCTTCATGAGAGACACTAATGGCTAACATGAAGTGAATGTTAATATTCTACTACACTCTGGTTTATTCTAAAGTCTTCACATTTTGTACAGAAATCAGAAGTAATAGGAAATTTAAAAAATACTAAAATCAAAGTGATAAGGCTCTTTTATATGCTATTTCTCAAGTTATAAACCAACTCGTAACTATTAGTCTGTTAAAATCCAAAACTGATTATCTAAAATACAGTATAACACTACCTAGAACCGGTACTGGCAATTTCTTTACCTCCTCTCCTTCACAATGTTTCGGATGCAGAGGTCACGGTGATAATGGATAAACTGTTGACAAGTCATTTTTATTTCCTCAGAAACAGGAGAATCTCTGTTGTCTCCTGTTTCTTTATTGTTCCATAGGAGTTCAAGTCTGAAAACCAAAAATTAAAGAGGCTATTTTTTAAGGAGGGGAAAGCCCAGAGAGAGAGAGAGAGAATCTTTCCTGTCTTACCCCATCAAAATATCTGCCCCAAAGCTAGTTACCAAAGCTGTATCTACACACACAGACACCATCAGTCACGAAAGCAGAAACATACTAATACTGCATTTGGCAGGCTGGGATGAGAGCTTCATGAGTTCTAAGCCCTCCAGGTAAGTTTAGCCCATTTCAGTTTATATCAAGAAATGTTCCTCATTCCACATTTTCCTGTTTTAGAACACAAACATAGCTTGGATATCAAGTATTTTATTTTATCATCTTTCAATGTCATAACCACAGAAAGAAACACTGGGGTCTGGATCTGGAGAAAGTTTGTTTCTACCCGCCTGGACAATGGAACTGCTGAGGTTTTGCCTTAACATTATTAAGCTCATAGCTGATTTTGATGACTTTCCTATTCTGCTTTTCCCTTATGAAATTATTCTGACCCTAGCAATGACACCTTAGTGGAGAGGATGATGATGGTAATGATGATGGTGATGAAGGAGAAATAAGAAGGAAGAACAGACACCACTTACTGGGTACTTTTCATAGAGTAGGTGGGATGAGTTCCATTAGCACTTTTAGTTTCTACTGATTTTGACACGGAAAGCAAATGAGGAAGTACAAAGATATGCATCCTCAACTTCTTTCTCCCATTGCTAAGTTCAACTAGCCCTCCTTGTTATTTTTTAGAAAGAAATCTTTGATCTTAATTGAAAGAAATTCTTCACTAAGCCAGTCAAGACCCAAAAACTTAGAAAGAAAATCTGAGTCTCCTATAAGTTGTCAGTTTAATAGAAAGAGGAATCCTGTTGTCAAAGGAGAAAGACAATCAAACATAGACCTCTGGGGGCACACCACCTACTACTTCCATTTCTAAAGACATTTTCAAGTTTCATTTAACTTTATGTAGTTAATGGCATAGAAATCAGCATCCATCAGTTCTTGTTAAAATGCAAATTACATTGCTGAATTTATAATAGTTCTAACATTTTTCTCTGCAGTCATTTACAACAAATACGTGAATCAACAGATAACCTTTGTTGAGGTGTTTTGTGGTCTAATAGCACTTACAAAAGGTGTAAAATATCAGTATCTTAATAGAATGGCTTTGTTGTCAACTTTAGAAATATTGACTTATTTCAAAACTAAATTTACCTTCGTTTGAAAGGTAAGATGATTAAATGTTTGTCCAAGCCAAAGATTCCAAAGGAAATAAATCCCTAGAGAAGAAAACAAAGTTGTTTTTTTCTGAATGCAACAATAAAATTTTAAGTCAGAGAAATAAGGAAACCATTAAATTTGGCGCTTGAAGCAAACCTATAGTAACTACAGTGCCATTTTAAATGAAACCCACAAAGCAGCCTCCCTAAAATTCAGTACCTCGAGGCAGACTTGATACTCCACTGCCTCTTTTCCAATCATTTAGTCCTACAAATTATGAGAGGTGATACAAACCAGTGCTGAGCATCACAGCGTACTGAAGAAAAGTGAAAACATTTAAGGGATATATGTGTTTGTTTTTCCCTTTTGAAAAGAAGGTATTTCCTTCTTTTCACTCTGCTTAAGTACTTATTTACTGTTGAAACTTCATAAATTATGTAATTAGTAAGTGCCACAGTATCTATTTACACTACAGTAACCGGACAGAATTTCAGGAAAGGGATGCTGGCTAGTGGCTAGGGGAAAGGTCTGAAGGGTTTGCGATGATAAGGCACAGATCAGGACAATTTAGGACTAAGTGGGAAAGAGGCTGTGGGAGCTGTCGTTCATCAGGCATACCAGGGTGCGGGTCTGCGGGATGAGGGAGGAAGAATGCAATATAGTGCTTTTCATTTCTGTTTTGTGGTGCTGGGGAATGGACTCAGGGATTTGTGCATGCTAGGCAAGAACTCTACCACTGAGTCACATCCCCAGCCTGCAATATAGTGTTATATGAAGGACCTAATTTTCTTCCCCCCAAATTATCAACACACAGAAGGAAGTATCTTTCTAATCACCTACCCAAGAGGAGATGAGCTGGGAGTAGGTTTGTGTCTCTCTCACTCCTTTGAGCCACTTGAGACATAAGCTGTGTGGGCAGCATTTTAAGTGCAACATTCCTGGCATTAGCTCTGTTCATGACAAAACCCAGCCAGAGAAGCTTTTTCAGCCCCAGTCCTGGGATTGCCCGGCTTGGAGTGGGCTTTCTGAATGCAAAATGCGAAGGGAGACCATGATTTTAAGTCTAATATTCTGTAGTTCTTGGGTACGCAGTCAGATCTCAGTATCGCAAAGTGAAATGGGTAGTAAGTAGCTCTCAGGATGCTCATGTCTGTAATACACTGACTGAGGTCACTTGGGTCTTTATCCCCACTCCTGCTAACACAATAATAGCAAAACAAACTGGAGACTAATGTTAGGGAAGAAAACTTACGGGAGCGTTTACTGGGAAACCTTAACTAACAGCAAAGTATTTCAGATTTAATAGGCAAGATATTTCAAACAGTACTTTTTTCAACCTGATGTTCATCATATAAACATTCTTTAATTAAAAAGTAAAAGGTTGGGCTGGGGCTCAGTGGTAGAATACTTGGCCAGTATGTGCAGGGTCCTGGTACTACAAAAAAAGTATAAATGAATATAACAAAAATAAAAAGTAAAGGATTGATGAAAAGATCAAATATTGAAAAGTGCACATAAAATATTTCCCAATACGTAAACTGTCATTTATCATTAAATATCCATTTTAATAGTGACATGAACATACATAATAACATCTATTACATTACTTTGTAGAATTTTGTTCTTCTAAATTTTTTTTTTGGTACCAGGAATCGAACTCACAACCTCATGCTTGCTGGGCAGGTGCTGTGCTACTGAGCTACATCCCTGGCCCTTATTTTTCTAATTTTTAAACTGGGGATGATAATATCTACTTTGTAGGTACTTTGTGACATTTAAATGAGATAATGCAAAATGCTTAACAATGGTTGGCATGTAGTAGGCTCAAAGGAAAGGTAACTACTATCCCTGAACAAAATTTGCTTCTATACTGCATGATTTGTTAAAGAAGATTTAAATACTTATGATTCGGGAAGTATCAAAATGGAAATGCAAGGATGTTCATCAACTTAAATGGCTAAAAGAAGGGTTCAGGTAAGGTAAGTTATTTTGCAAAGTGAGTTGTTACACTCATAAAAAAGTTTAAAAAGAACTTAGGACATTTTGTCCCTGCTTAAATTATCATTCTTTATCTCAAGCCAAAGCAAAAAGCTGTTTGGTATTTCTGGTTGAAACACTCAGTGTACATTCTGATGACTTTAACCAATATAATAATTCATCTCTACTAAGAGACAGGCAGCAGCTGTCAGCTGTCATGTATACCAGCAGCTGGCAAACAAACTAAACCCTGTTGATTTAAAGGAAGACAACAACATCCGCACACACACTTCCCCTGCTGCCCAATCAGCTCATCGAAGAAAACAGAAACCCCTCCAAGTTCTTACTAAATACCTGGCCAAAGTTAAACACTGCACAGAAAAACTGTAACTCAACATAGAGTCTTCCAGGTTCTTGGTTGAACAGCCACCATAAACAACTGGAAAGATTCTGTAAAGGAAGGAGAAAAGAATTCTTTAAAATGAACCACACTAATCGTTTCTCTCCATTCAGAGCACAGTACAATAACTTATCTACTTAGTAATTAGGGGGAAAGACTAAAGGGAAAAATACTGAGAGAATATAGAGGCTTTGTCTTTCAAACAAGAGGTTTCACCCTCTCCTCCTGACAGGTGTCATTCAAACAGGATCTATTCTGATCAGAGTTGAAGCAAGACGACATGAGCAATAATACAGAAGCTTACATAATATACTAGGACTGCCGACTAGCCTAAGACAGGACTGATTTTAAAATTAGCTCTACACAATGGGCACAATTATAACACTATGCAGCAATTCTTGGCAGTGTTTCTTATTTTTTGATTTTTGTTCTCTAACAGCAGCAGTTAAGAGTGTCACTGGCTGATATCATACTATATAAGGAACATCCCATAGTGAGATGGGGCATGGGTTATGTGGTCCACCTCCTGCTCTAGGCAAGTTACACTTGAACCATTTTAAAGAATTATATGAGAACTGATAATTTACAAAAGATGGATATATAACTAATAATATTTTAGTAATTAAAGAAATGCATACATTTAAAAAGTGTATTTTATTACTAAATTATCAAGTTAAAATTTTCATAATTTCATTGCTGCTGAGTGCACTTTATAAATCTATACTACCCCTTTGGAATGCAATTTAGTAAAATGCATCTAAAGTCACAGAAATATTTACACTTTTTATACAGGTTTATCAAATTTGAGAATCCATCATTAGGAAACATAATGTATGGAGATGTTTATTAGAACATTTTGAAAATCTAGAAACAATTCCTAAGGAAGTGGTTGAGAAAATTATAATGTGTGTCTCTTATGTTTTTCTCAGGAGCCATTTAAAATATGAACACTATGCAGCACCATGAAAATGCTTGACAAAACAAAAACAAAACAACAAAACCATGACACAAAATTGTATGCTTAGAATGAAGAAAAATGTGTTAAAAATTAGAAGGCGGGGCTAAGTGTGTAGCTCAGTGGTAGAGCATGTGCTTAGCATGCACAATGCACTGGAATTGATCTTCAGTAGAAATAAAAAAATAAAATTCATTTCATTCAGTTAAAAAAGTAGTACTATAGTATGATGGGTTTTTTCCTCTTTTCTCTGTTATATTAAGCAGTTGTGATATTTTCACAACTAAAGTTATTTTTAAAAGGTTTATTTATCTGAGGAATATCTTCTGAGAGATGATTTAGACATTTATCCACTTTATGGTCAGTCAAGTAATGAGAATAAGTGGCCCTGCACACCATCTTGTTTTAACAAATTCTAGGTTCCGAGCAAAGGCTCAGTAAGTGATTCTAATCAGTGCAGGATCTGGGAGCACGTAGGCAACTGAGTAAAATGTGGTTCCCCCCTCCAAAACATTGAGCCCCAGACTAGAATTCAGATGTTTTCAATATCATACTCCCAAGGAAGTAGCAACTAAGTTTCTCCCAGATGCCTGACTAAGACCTCTGCAAAGCATTGAAAGAAACAACCCCCAAACAAAATCAGAAGAAAATTTACAGCAAACAGGCCAATAATTAGAAGTAAACACAGCAAGACATGTCGAGTCAGTTGCGGGTCTCCAGTCTGCAGATACTGTTCTTCTTCCTGGACTAATATGCAGCTCTGGGAGTTACAGCGACTCACACAGTGATCATCTATAAAGCAGTAAGCACAACAATTTGTAATCAGAGCTTTTTATTTGAATGCATTTTAAATTTATAATGACTTCCTAAGAGAAACAACAAAAAAGCACATTCAGCTAAGAATCAGTATATAATTTTGACAAAATTGGAGGAGAGCTCCTTCATGTTGTTTTAAGAATTTCAGTTGTAGAGTGCTTTTAATGTGGAAAAGACACAAGTAGTATGTAATGGTTCCTGTTTACACCACTCAACCATGTTTTCTATCTATGTAATTGATGCTATATAATTACATATTAATACATATTATAAATTATAATTATGTATATGATTTTAAAGGCTAAATTAATAACTCAAGTTTCACCTGTAAATAAATATACTTATTAGTCATAAATATCCTAGTTTGGCTAACTGTAAAACAAATTTACTGTTAACTTTTGACTTTTCTGAAAGAGATTAAAATTTGCCTTTAAGAAGGCCAATAAGTTACCAAGTAATTATTACATATTGCCTTTTTTTTGCATATGAAACTCAGCCCGAATCACAGATATGATTCCTCTGGCCCAAAATAGACATGAGGAATCTTTTGTAAAAATATGTTTTTTAATTCCTACCATAGCTCCACTCTATCTGTGGCAGCAAAAGTAAAGGAAGCATTTTTTTTTACACAACTGATGGCTAATCTAACATACAGTCTTATGGTTAATGTTTAAATCAATGATTCAGAAACCACAATTTGAGAGCTCTTTCCCTCAAGTTAAAAATAAGTATCCATATTTTTAAAAAGCCACTTTTTAAAAAGGACATATACAACCATTAAGCAAGGTGCAGCAGGTGGTTTGTATCATTGAAAACTCAAGATCTCATCTTAATAAAAATTATTTGTAAATACAGTATGTCTCCCACAGTTTGGATACTGAATGTCTCCCAAAGCCCTATGTGTTTAAGGCTTGATCCCTAGCCCAATGCACTATTGGGAGAAGGTAGGACCTTAGGAGAGGTAGCCATTAAAAAGACATTAGGTCACAGGGCTGTGCCCTCAAAGGGGACTTTGGGACCCTCTCCCCTCTTCTTCTCTCTCTCTTTGCTCCCTAGCTGCCATGAGGTCAGCAGTTCCTCTACCATGTGGTCCTTCCATGTACAGGCCAGATGACCATGGAGTGAACCTCTGAAACAATGAGCTAAAATAAATTGATAATCTGAGGTATTTTGTCACAGCAATGGAAAGCTGGCTAACACAATGTCCACATGTAGAAAAATCCTAGAAATATATATAATAAACCTGGCTTAAAATATTATGTATAGATATTACAAAAATGGATACAAATTAATTTTACTATTTTTCTTTTGCCTTTTTCATATATTGTTGTTCAGCAATCTAAATTGAATGTAATATTTATTTTGGCTTTGTGCTATGGCAGGAAGTGGGAGATGAATTATATTGTTAAGTTCTAAATAATTTCATTTGTCTACTGTTTGATTCCCTTTAGACTTTTTAAAAATTATTCAGGCTTAGTAATGATACTAAATTATATGTATAGATGAAATCCATATCTGATAGCTCTCATTCTATATAATTTTTTTAAAATATCAGGAAATTTTAAAAACCCCTATAATTTAAAAGATCTCAGGAATCAACCTTAGTAATGAAGTAAATGACAGATAAGAAAATCCCAAGGCAATTTTGAGATGCAGGTAAAAAAGGTTGATGAATCAGATGACATATTGAAGCTGATAATGACTTTACTTCCATGCCTGCTGTGTAAGGAGAAAAAAATAAAGAAGACAGCCTAGGGAATTCTAATATGAAGAAACACCTTTTAAAAGAAACACATAAATAAAAACTGAAAGTTAAACTGAATTCCAGAAGGGGTTTCCTATTAGAAAATATTAATGAAACCTCCACAGCTGATATATTTTCACTTCTTTCTATGGATACATGAATATTATTAAGATTCATTCCTACCCAGCAGATATCTGCCAAACAAATGCCACCTAGAGAACAACTCCTGCTGTCAGTATTATATTTGATGAGCATTTACTATGTTCATCATACACAGCTAATTAACTTTCATTCACCACAGTATTTTTATATAAAAACAAGCCTTTAGCAATAACAGAGTTTACAGATGCTTCATTACAAAGAGCACTTTTGGAGGTTTCCCTGTCTAGTTTGATTATAAATAAGAGTAATCAACTAAAAGTACACTGCAGTTCCATATAAGAATGTTCAGTTTTGAATAACTTGAAATTCAGATAAAACACAATTCAGTCTTTTAGTTTATATGCCAAAAGTTTATTATTTTTAAAGCTTTTTAAAAATTCATTTTATAAAAAATGGGATATTTAAAGTGAGCAAGGTGGGGCAAGCCTCTGATCCCAGCACTCAGAAGGCTGAGGCAGGAGAATCAGTTTGAGATAAAACCCTGTCTCAAAAAACCAAAGAAAGGAAAAAGGGGGGATATTTAAAGCGTAAAGGTTCACAGTAATTAGCAGTAATTAATTAGTTCTGATCACAGGGGTTAGTGGGGGAGTTTCAGTTTCTAAAATAAGAAAAAACAAAAAGCCAGGCATAGTGGCACACACCTGTAATCCCAGCACTCTGAAAGGTGAAAGCAGAAAGATTCAAGCCCAACCTGGGTAACCTGCAATACTGTCTCAGAAAAAGTACAATAAATATAAAAAATCCCTGGGTGCAAATGCCAGTACTGTAGTATATGCATACATGCATACCTAGTAGCAGAAAAAAGTCTTACAAAGTAATTGCCCTTAGGACAAGCTTCTTGAATTTATCACTTAAATTAAATTCATTGGAAAGTATGTGTGTGTGTGTGTGTGTGTGTGTGTGTGTGTGTGTAATAAATACCATAACCCTATTTGTTACTTCCTGTAAGAACCTAATTTCTTAAAACTATTCACTCTGCATGATTATCATCCGATTAGCACTTTCCCCTTATTGTTTGAGAATCTATATTTTCAGTGTTCAGCAGTGTTATAGCAGCTACAGAGATCCTACGCAGAGTTCTTTTTGAGGGATAAAGATAAGGAATCTTCTGTCCCTTCAGCCCATCCTCATAGCCGGGCACTTACTTTTCTCAAAGGAAGGAGTCACAGGCCTGCTGGAGCTTGTGTTTGCCACTGGCTCTGCTGATGGGCACTGTAATTCACCATTTCCCATGGAGCAAGAGCAGCAACCTGTAAAGAGAGAAGAATATGTGAGGGCAGAGCCCAACCAGAACAGAAATCGGCAAATCAAACCAAACAAAACCTGCTTGGGCAGCCTCCCACGAAGTGTTTTCACATGTTATTTATCAGAAGGTATTGAAATGTGCTTACACAGAAGGTAACATTTAAAGAGTACCAAACAAATGACAGCTCTTTACATAGCATTTCCTCAATGTATGAGAAAAGAAAAATGTTCGCATTCATGCTGTTTTATTTCCACTGTGCTTTGGGAACTAAGAATTCAAATATTTTCCTAAAACACAACTTTCAGTTCATCTCTTCTATAAAATACACATTAATGCTCCATTGATTACTGTAGAAAATTCAAACTCATTGGCCTAACTTTGAAAGCTCACTGGGCAGCTACCCCTATTGTTCAAAAAAAAAATCTCCGCTTCTTTTATGACAATTCTTTAGTTTTCCACAAGCCTCTAGGCCTAGGTTGATCAAATCCTCTTCTTTAAGTTCAGCTCAAAATTCACTTCTTTCAAGAACCTGTGTCTTGAAACAGTCTGTAAAAAGAATTACATAATTTTTCCTTTTCAAATAGATACTGCTAAAAAATCTCTTGCTAATTTATAGGCAGATTGGTTTACTGAAGCCACACTGAGACATCTGCTATAGAGCTGCAACTGTTCCTCCATATAGGCAGAGAACTGCATGCCATGCCCTTTAAAATATTTCACACTTATAATAGACATGGTGCTCCTTAACATGGATTATAATAGAATAAAATAACAACTTCAGGAATAAACTATTAAAATTGAATATGCTAGAAAAATGAGTAATTCCTAGGCCTAACCTTTCATTGATAATGTGCTTAAATTCTTTAGTGATGTTCATAAAACAAAAAAGATTTTAAAGAATTAAAAACTACAATCTATACTAAGCTTTTATGAATCCCTTTCTAAATTTAAGATAATGATGCCATTATAAGGTTAAAATAGAACCGATGAATAATAGAAAAGAGAAGAAAAAGATTATTTGGCCCAACCCTCTTCAGAAACTTGAAGGTTTAGAGCAGCTTAGAATTACTAAGATACATATATATGTACATAGCCAGTCATCCCAATGATATACCTTTAGGGAATGAGCACATACATGTACACATGGACCTTCCAGGTGTTGCCACAGGCTATGTGCACAGCCCAACTTGGCCACCTAGACCAAGCCACACTCTGTGTCACTGTTTCATTATATTGATGATATTATATTAACCTCTGATTGCCTTGCAGATTTGCTGTGATACGCACAGCCTGAAGGAAACTTTGCTGACATGGGGGTGGGTCCTTGAATGAAGACAAGGTCAGGGACTTGGCTTATCTGTCAAATTCTTGGGTGTTGTCTGATCAGGTAAGACAAAAGTAATTTCTGATGCTGTTATTGATAAGATCCAAGCATACCCCAGACCCACACAGTACGCCAGTTACAGGCATAGGTGGGCTTGCTAGGGTTCTGGCTGACATTCATACCACACCTGGCTATACTGCTGCACCCTTTACACTGGATGATCCAGAAGGGTGCTACATGGGACTGGACAGATGCAACAGAAGCTGCTTTTCAGGACTCAAAGAGGGCTGTTGCACAGGTGCAAGCCCTATAGTAGTTGACCCTACACTGCCATTCATCCTAACCATCCGTGTGGATGACGATGGGTTCGGCTGGGGCCTGTGCCAAAAACAGGGCCAGGAGAAGTATCGTGTTGGGTTTTAGTCACAGTTGGGGAAGGGAGCTGAGAGCCAGTACTCCCTTACTGAGAAACAGCTGGCAGCAGTGCACGCTGCCCTGAATGAAAGGAAGAGAAAAGAAAAAAATATATATATACACAAGATAGTTAAGGTAGTTACACAGCTAGTTTCTCTTTGCTCACTGAAAAGAAAGCATTGTGCTAATATTGTTTGGACAGTATTTCTTGCCTATATCTTGTACTCTGAATAACTACTATGAAGATAACGATATGCAATGTATCATTATTGTTACTATCCTACTAGCTTGTTTTGAAACTCTTTTATTATTATTTTTATTTTTCCTTCTCTCTTTAAAATAAATAAATAAAATAGTTATTTTTCCTTTCAATCATAATTCTGGCCTTATAACATTACAAGTCATAGGTCTCTGACAAATATGTAGCAAAGGGCAGGGGTAAGTGAACTATTTTGAGCTACCAAGACTGGGGAAGGCCAGGCTGGCCATGTAAGGTGCTATGTGCTAATACCACTAGCAAAGCAGAAAAGAGCAGCATTTAGGAAAGGAGATCAGAGAGGTTTGAAATACTTTTCCTCAGGCACACTAGTGAACATGCAAATAAACAAGTACTTTGCCCTAGCAGTTTGCACAGTTTCAGAGAATCATGGCATAACTTATCTACACACCCATCTATCCATCCATTTAACAAATATTACTAAATATTTACATACAGCCTAAAACCATGCTAGGTGTCAATCCTATAGTAATAGGCAGGTCAGATATAGCATTTGTAGTTGAATAGGTTATGGGAACAATTTAAAAAGCAATTATGAAATAGTGAGATAAGGGGAGAGGGAAGCATAAACACTGCACAAGTTCTTATAGGGAGAGAAGGGGTACCTACCTTCTAGTTCTCCATTTATTTATACTACACATTCAAGTTCATTTCCCAGCTGGAGATGATGATGGGATTTAATGAATGTCATGATACAGTTTATTTGCTATTTTCAAAGACAGAAAAGAGGTAGCCACAAGTCTGTGGGCTTACAACCCTTAGGGTAGTGCTTCCCATTGGAGGTGATGTCAGGCCTTTGGTAGTCAGTTCGGAAACACTCATGGAAGAAGACGTACAGCCAGCTGCGGCGGGGGTGGGGAAGGGGGGGACGGGTTCAAACTCTGTCTCCCCCCAAACTGGCAGCCTCATTTACAAAGTCTACAAAGTGAGGAAGGAAAGGGTGTTAAGCATTATCAGAGAGGTGCTCTAGGCTTGTAAGTTTAGTGGAGACGTAACCCTTGAGCTTAAGCTTTAAAAAGGAAAAAGGGCAGGAAGCTCAAAAGAATGAAATTCTGATGATATCACCTCCAATTACCTAACAAGGAAATTAATGAGTTTGGGCCTCGAGGCCATGAAGTCGAAGCATGAAGAGAAACATGACAACAGTTTAGGGCAAAGTGTGGAGAGTTCAGTAGCACAAGGAAAAGGGAGGAGCTGGCTCTGAGCAGCGTCCCACCAGACTGCAAGGCGCTGAATACCACATGCAGGGCTCTCTCTGTACAAGGCAGACTCTGCAACAAGAGCCTGATGGGCTGAGCTCTGTGGGAGACATTACTTGGCCATTTCACATGAAACAAACTGGACTAGGGACTGATGGGAGACAGCAGCCTAGTTAGGAAGGAATTACAAGAATCCAGTAGAGAGGGGCTGGGGATTTAGCTCAGCAGCAAAGCGCCTGCCTGGCAAGTGCAAGGTTGTGAGTTCGGAGAAAAACCAAAAAAAAAAAAAAAAAAAAGAATCCAGTAGAGAGACTGGAGGCCCAAGTGGGCAGTGGAGCCCAGGGCAGGTGCAGGGCCTGCAGAGGTTGAATGACTGGCTCTGAATGGCTAATTTGCTTGAGAGGGAAACAGAAAAGATGTTGGGCCTGGAAGTCCTGAAAAAACAGAATTGTTAGTATTCAAGTATGCTTGTAAAAGGGAGTAAATAAGTACTGGCTACATAGTCAGAAAGAGGTGTAAACACTATATATGTAAAGAACAGGAAATCTGGGATTGGACCAATATAAAGAGGTTAGATAAGTGATACAACCTTGGGAAACATGTACAGTACGAAGGCTTGACATTAAAGTCATGAGAATGTATTTGTTGCCTGGGACCCAGAATTACTATCCTAGGACAATCCTGAGTACTCAAGGAGTTGTGAGAAAATGACGGATACAAGATTGGCAAACCCTTTCCATAAAGGGCATAGAATTATAGACATGAAATTGAAGTTTCATATAATTTTCAAAAGTCACAAAATATCTATCCTTTAATTTTTCTTTCACATTTTGCAAATGCAAAAACCATTTATTAGCTGGTAGATCCTACAAAAACATATGGAAGGCCTGATTTGGTCTGTGGAATATAGTTTATAAATGCCTGATTCCTACTATTAGCCTGCCCCAATTAGGCCTCCTTGAGTTTATTTTATTGACGGTGCCTGCTGATACAATGTTGTTAAAGTAACAAATGTACAGTGCGCTTCATATGTGCTTATGTGCTTCCTTTCCACTGTTACTTCTTCTGGATCCCTGGAAGTTCTAGAATTTAACAAACGATTACTCCTCACAAATAGACTTGTAAAGAAAAATGTAATGAATAAATTTGCAAGTTCTTCCTATTATTAACTATAATTCAAGTTCTTCATTGACAAATACTTATGATATTCAGAATAGTCCAAAGAACTTCCCTTAAACAAAACACTTAGGTACATGCTAGAAAGGTATATAATATGTATACATATACACATATGTATTTAAAGATCATACTTGTTTCTGGGATAGGATTTGTAAAAAGTTCTGGTTCATTTGTTGGTGCTGGACTCTCCTCAAAAGCAGTGTTTCCAGGCTCCATTGCTTTGTGACTCTGAGAGTGGCCGAAGCCTTCGTAGCGGCCTGCATGGCTGGTACGGTTCATGCACATGAGCGATACTCCAGCTATCAGAATGCTGCAGAACAGGGTGACTGCTGTGGTGATCATCTGCCCATGGTGGAAAAAGGCATTAGGCCACTTTTCAAAATCCCACCCGATTAGCACAAGTTAAGGGCACTTTTTTTTTGATGAAAAATACATCTGTGCAGCTTTACATATTCTAGAATAGAGCTTCTTAAAAATGGTAAGCATGTGTAAGAAACATAAATTATAGAGAAATTAAAGTTTCCTTGTGATCATATGCATTTTCTAGATGTTTCATTCTATAGCAAGTGGCTAACAATTCAGCCATTGGTTTCTTTTACAAGTAATTGCAATGATTTCTTATAGGTCTTCTCTTTACTTCTAAATGTTTAGAAGTCAGTGCTATCCCCATTGTGTTTCCCAGTACTGTCTTTCCTTGTCTTTGTGTCTTACAAAGGTCTCACTAAGTTCCTTGTCTTTCTGCCTTACTTAAGACAAGGTCTCACTAAGTCGGCCAGTGTGGTCCCAAACTCTCAACACTCCTACCTTAGCCTCCCAGTAGTTGAGACGATAGGAATGAGCCACCATATCCAGCTCTCAGAGTGTTTGTAAGAATCAGTTACGTTTCAAACACTTACAATCCTTCAGCTAAAAGTAGACTTAGACAAGTGAAATGTTGACCCTATTGTGAAGCATGACAACGTGACAGAGGACCAAAGGTATGACATGTGATATTCAAAATGAATTTTAATGTAAGTGTAGCAAGGTACATTAACAAGCTAAAAAGAGATGTTCTCAGGAACAGAACTGACAATAAATTCTCCCCACCTGCTCTTTTCCATAAAAGAAGGCTGAGTCAATGCTATCTCCATTGTGTTTCCCAGTTATCAGAAGAATACCAACAAGGAGAGCAGGAATTCTATAATAAAAGGTTATTGAGAGAGAGAGCAAATGAATAGTAACTGCATATATGCAAATATCTAAGCAAACACAAAAGTACCAACTTACCCCCAGCCAGATATTATGATGATTCCAACAGGAATTTGTACACTCTCTCGCTTTTTCAAAAGGAACAAAGAAATTGCTAGAAGGCCTAGGAACAAGAAGCAGGGATTGAAAGAAAAATAATTATTCTTGATGTGGATCAGACTTCACAGGACTTTATTCCCTTTTTTTTTTTTAAAGCAAGCTTTTTTCATAGTGGTTCAATTTTTGCTCAAGAATTTACTCCTAAGTAAATGCTGTCTCCAGTGTTTTGTAGGAAATTTTCCTAAGTCAAAATTACTTGTGTTTTCCCTTCTACATTGTTTCCTTACCCAAATCTTATTTGTCCAGGAGGATTTTTTTTTCAAAAGCCCCAATCATTTTATTCTTTTTCCTATGTGACTGGAATCTAAGTACAGTTGAAAACAGATTTTTAACTATACACAGAACAGTTCTAAGAACAACCGCACTCTCTTGGTGGTGGTTGAGAAGTTATTATAAGCGATTTTTTTCCATACCCAGCCCGCTCCCTTTTTTTGAGATAGGGTCTTACTAAATCTCTAGGCTGGACTTGGACTTCCTGCCTCAGCCTCCTAGAGGGCTTGGAATTACAAGTATAATAAGCAATTCTTACATGGGTTATGTCTTTTGAAAATGTTTAAAGTGTTGATGGAGCTTAATATAAACATGGTATGAACTTAAACACAAATGTTTTCAAATTCTTGAACATTATATACTACATCCAATCATTTACACAAGTACCATCTGCTTTAAACTTCTACAGAACTGTAGCATTGGAAAGAATCCCTGCTTCAAATCAACATCCTCATCTTAAACACATGAAAACAAGGGTTTGCCCAAGTCCCATATCCAGCAGAGGGCAGACCCAATCTTGTGACATAAAGTAGGTTCTTTAACTCTCACAACTTAGATCTGTAAACCTCTGGGGTTCCGAAGACATAGTCTTCAGGATCTGGTAATATATAAGAAATTTAAAGTCTTTTTTTTGTTGTTTTATTTTTCAGTGATAATCATTGTGTACCTCCATAGAATCATGCACAGTCTCATGATTTCAGAGCTTACATTTGGCTTTATATTATGTTTTTTTAAATTTTATTTTTATTTGTTTTTTAAGTTTATTTTATGTTTGAGCCAAGTAATGGCTAAATGTCATCAACAGTACACGGTCCAAACAAAGGTTCTGTGATAGTTTGAAGAAAGAAAAGTAGTGAGGTAACCAGTTTATAACTGTACTATATATGGAGGTAAAGGCTAACCAGACTTGAAAACCAGGGAAGTAGTTGCATTTTACATGTTAAGTGAGATTTATATTAGGTAAAACATGATCTTTTGTGATACTGATTAAGGCTACTAATTAGAATTACTAGGTTTATAGTGTTGTTTGAATCTAATCTGTGAAGTGGCTTTGTTTTTACAGTTGGATATAAAGAATTCATACCAAGATTTGAGACTGTGCAGATTAAATAACACCATACTAGAATTAACATAAATCAGCACTCTGGTCCTTGAGAATTGTTTTTCTTCACACTGCTCCTCCTGTAATACATCTGTATTGGCTCTATTTTCAGGTTTCCAGTGCCAGGAAAACAAGTAACCTACCACAACAATGTGCCCACTGGGCTACCGTACCAAGGAACTCTACAACTGCTGACTGTACAATCAGCGACAATGCTGATTGTGCCACTGGAACTCCCACTCTTTAAATCTGTGTGTGAAAAAAATCATATACTCTCAGGCAGAACCTAGCCCTGCATGTCTTCCTGATGAACTTGCTATATACCCTGTGGTTTAACTTTTGGGGCCTATTTTCATAATCTGCAAAATGAAGGATTCAAACAGACCAGCATGAAGCTGAATTTTTAAAAACTAGTTATGTATTTGATATGTTTTTCAGAGTTTTAATTAGCACAAAAAAACTTGGGATTTCACTGATAAAAGGCCCAATTGATTGAAGTTTTTTTTTAAAAAGTCAATTTTAAAGAAAAAAAAAGGGTATATAGGTAGGGCAAAAATTGTGAGGATGATACACAAAGGAGTGAAATTAAAAATGACTGAACAGGAAATTTAAACATACTTTTAGGTCTAAATTTCTGTTGTATCATAATAATCTGAGGGTTAAAGGGTACCATCATCAGGGTTAGGGGACTCAGAACAACTTCTCTGGATAGACTTTGACAATGCATACTTGAAATTGGTTTCAGAGAAAGAGTTGGAGCTTACTGATATATGTCTTTGGTGTTCTTTCATTCTTATAAATTTTGCCTGAATAAACTCAGGTATTAGAGATTAGAGTGGCACATTTATATTAGGAAATAAAGTTGCTAGGCTCTTGTGATATCTCACAACAACTCTCATGCTATGGAAGGTGTACTTGCCTTTAAGAAGCACAAACCACCTTCTTCACCTGGCACTGAATGTCACATTGTGTAATTCCTCACTACACTGTTGCCTCACCTCAAAAGCCTGTTGACTTACATGGGACCTCTTTTTGATCCTGAAGGCATGAGATCAAAGATCTTCTACAGTGACTTCCTGACACTCGCCTCTTAACCATTCTAAGTTTCCTATTTGTAGTATGAAACGTTCATACTTTTCACCCTCAAAAAACTCTGCAAGGTGCCACAACCCAGTTTTATAGGTAAGGAAATTGAGGATCCAAAAAATAATTAATTTGCATAAGGCAGAGTTATAATTTTGCAGTTAGGACTCTAGTATGAGCACTGGGACACAACTCACACACTGTTACCCACTCTTTCCTTTCCCCTCCACCCTCTGGCATCTGCCCTCTTGGTGTCTGGGAGCTGTGCTGATAGTGGCTTAGAGGGAGACTCCAAGGAAAAGTGCCATGTGACTACAGATGGCTGAGTCTAGGCAGAAATCGAGTGTGACAGGAAGAACTCACCTTTGCAGACTGCTTGTGTTGGTGGGTATAAGAGCCTAACCCCGTACTACCAGACTTTACATAGGTAACTAGAAGCTGGTGTGTGGGGAGGGGAACAGACCTCAGTGTCCATTCATGGTGCAACTCACCTGTCCACAGGTAGGTGCTGTACAGGGAGCTGTACAATAGAACAAACACCAAAATTTGCCCAACAAAATTTTTTTCTTTGACAAAGTTCCATATCATCATTCCAGCACAGACAATAGACTAAAGAAAAAAATTATTAAAAGGCTGTAAATAGCTAAGAAAACCACATGATTCAATACTACCACAGAAAATAACTATTAAGCTAATCACACTCATATACATTTCATTCACAGAAAATGCAATTATTCATGTTAAATTAACACTAAGTAATTGTTAATTATTGCTTATTACTATACTAAAACTTGAAGATTTATGATAAAAACTCATTTTTATGCAAAGCCTATAACATATTCAACTGAAAAAGATGACAAGCACATTCTACATACCAACCTTATTTTATTTTTTTTTGTCTTTTTGAGATAGGGTCTCACTATGCAGTTCAGGCTGGTCTTGAACTCACTTTGTAGCCCAGGTTGGCCCTGAACTTGCAATGATCCTCCTGCCTCAGCCTCCCGAGTGCTGGGATTACAGGCATGTGCCATTATGCCTGGCTCCAACCTTATTTTAGTAATGGTTTACACGGAAAATGCTGAAGTTCTTTCTATTATGGTTTGAGGCTCTTTTAACTTGACATCTCATGAAACAAGTACACAAAAGTAAGACTGTGAAAGATCAGTTTTTCATGATTACATTATTTCTATTAAAAAAGGAAGAAATTATTACCAACTGCCATTACCAGCCTCATCTTAAAGTTCAAGACCTATTGCAATATTTAATATAATTAGGCATAAATGAATAGTAATCAAATTACAGTTGATTGTATTTGTTAATACTTTTGAGTATATACTTGGGAAAACCTAGAAAAGTAAGTTTGTCCTGTATAGTGGAAAAGTTCCTGAGAAAAGCATAGTTTTAAATATCTATAGGCATACTAACCTGGGCAATAAGTAAATTAGTCGTAAGCATATGAGGAAGCTGTTTATATTTCTTACTCAAGAGAAGAATAGCCAGAGACCAGATCTAAAAGACAAAAATTTCCGAAGTTACTCATGTTTCTTAACCTTTATAATTACTTTAAATAGCACACTGATTAGCGCGCCCGCACGCGCGCGCGCATGTGTGTGTGTGTGTGTGTGTGTGTGTGCGCGCGTGTGTGGGGCTGGGGATCAAACACCAGGCCTCGTTCTTGCTAGGCAAGTGCTTTACTACTGAGCCACACCCTCAGCACCATGAGTAGTATCTCTAAAGAATCCTCTTTATCCTGGTTCATAAAATATTCCAATATTTTATTTACTAGTTCCAAAAATGGTGTTAAGGTAAGTTCCTATATCCAAAGTAAAATAAAAACACTGAGATCCCATAGAAAATTAGCTGTCCAAAAATTCCAGTC